GGAAGACAATGCTGTAAAAATGTAAATTCTTACCAGTCAGTCTATATATTTGAAACAACTTCTATAGAACTCTCAGGAGGATTTGTCATGAAGTCGACAAGATGATTCTAAAAACATATGGGCTTTTCTTCCTCTTCCTTTCCCTTCCCAAACAACTCAATTCTAAAGTCATTAGGTGGAGCACAGCCAGGGTGGCTTCATATGGGTGGAAGAGGGGATGGAATACCACAGCGGTAGGGGATGGGCTCTTAGACCCCAAACGTGGTGAGGAGGGTGTGCCTGTAGTAGGGCTTTCCAGAGCAAGTAGGCAGAGCCTGGTCAGGGAGAGGAGGGTGTCCACACAAAGGGGTGGCCAAGCATGGGCATCTAGTTCACCCAGAGGTGAATGGAGGTGTCCATTTGGAAGAATGGCTCAGAGCAGAAAGTCTGACCACAAGCAGGATGAGAAGTGCATCTTCTTAAAGGGATAGGCCTTGGGAATTTGGAGACTGTTGTGAACGGAATGTTTGCGTTCTCCCTAAATCCATATGCTGAGGTTTTAATGCCCAATGAAATAGTATTTGGAGACAGGGCTTTTGCGAGCTAAATCAGTTTAGATGAGGTCATGATAGTAGGGCCCCCATGATGAGAGTGGCATTACACACACGCACACACACACACACACACACAGACACACACATATAGTGTCAGGAAGAATGAGCACTAAGATTGCTAGGACACTTTTGAAGAAAAAGATTTTACCCACCTGCCAGCTACACTTAATGGCTCAGAGGCATACAGATTAGCCAATGTAATAGAAAAGAATGCCCAGAAAAGAATATTTACATATATGGAAGTTTGATCTGTGGCACAGTTGTCTAACAAATCAGGGTGGAAAGGAGGCTTATGCAGTAAACAGCGTTTTGATAATGGAATGTTCCTGTAAGAATTCTGAAAGCCTCCTTTGCTTGTCAAATCATCCTTTCAACTCCACAGCCTGTCCAGGTGCTTAGTCCTGGGATTATGGGTTACCCATGTGACCTTTTATGAATTCCCAACCAAGTATCTTTTGACATGAGATTAAAAAAAAAAAATCATTGTATTTCTTAATTGGTTGCCAACATTAAAAACTAATAAGTTGATATTATATAAAACTCTAGATGGCTATTTTTCTTTTCTTGAAAAGTCTGTGACAGAAATGAGCCTACAGGCTTGCAAATGGTTACACTTGCAGCACAGTGGTGCCTGATCTAGTGGGAACACACCCTCTAGTTCATCAAAGAATTTTTCTGCAGGTTGACACTGCCTGCCAAGGCCCTCTAGACAGTGGAGCTTTCTACCCGAGTCTAGTCTAATGTGTTCCACTGTCCCATAGGGCAGCCATTAGGTCTTTTTCGACTTTAAGGGTCTGAGTCAGGCATCAGTACTCATTGCTTTCTAGTTATTTTGACTTTGTTCCTTTGAGGATTCTCCATTCTGTCTTCCAACTACTTGCTTACATTGCTTTCTTCCCTGAACTCCACTGTAAGTTCATGTATTCTCTGTGACTTAAACAATTGCTTATATCTTTTTTTAAGGTAGCGGTAGGAGGGAAAAGGAAGGGCATCTAATAAATTTCATTAGGGTTTAATTTGTCCACTTTAAAAAATGCCCTTTTTGAGGTGTATAATTCGGGGGTTTTAGCATAGTCACAGAGTTATGGAAACACTGTCACTACCTGATTTTAGAACATTTGTATCACCCCAGAAATAAACGCTGTTTCCATGAACAGTCACTCCCCATTCTCTGGTTGTGTCTTTGAAAGCATTACTCCTGCTGGAAGTATTATACTTTGGTAACAAAGTCATACAATTCAAGTATCAGACAACAGATTGTAAAGGATTTTGGAGGGGATGTTTGTTTATCTGGATCTGCTTGGTGTTTCTCAACTCACCCCTTGTAGACCCATTAGTTTCTCTATCCCTCCTGTCCTCAAGGCTGTGTGGTCCGGCAGATTGACTCTAAGCAAGGTTTGCCTCTGATAGGTGGTCTTTTCATTTTATAAGTCTGCTAGGATTTTCCAGGCCTTCCCCTTCATTTCTAGGTACCTAAAGCACACTCCTTATCCCATCTCCCAGAGACTTTCACTACAGGACTCCATTCAGATATATGTTCCCTGCTTTGGAATATGCCACATTGTGAAATGCCTCCATGGTCCCACTCCCATGCCTACATCACTAGGACTTCAGTGACCTAAAGTGATTTAGGTGTTAGGAAAAAAGCAACAATGACTAACCTTATTCAAATGACAGCTATTGGCACTTTTTAAGTAAGACTTCGAAATGTGAAATTTTAGGCTTTGGGGAGAATGTTGTTTTCAATGAAGGGGTGGAATGAATAAGCACTTAGCAAGATCCTTCCCTAGTGTGAGTTACTTTACACAAGCGGTTTTTCTACATTCTTCATTCCTAAGTGCTTATGTCTATAATGCTAAATCTTTTCTGCATTTTCCTTTCTTACAGCAACATGGTGTAGTAACAGTTCCAAGCTTTTTATTTTCTATGTGGTGCAAAGAGAAAGGAACCACAACATTGATAAAAGCAGAATCAGACTCCTAGGGCTGCAGATGGGGTTTAGCAATGCTTCTAAATACAATTTTTTCTACTGATAAATGTGATACGTGCTAACAGTGGAAATTTTGGAAAATGCAGACAAGTACAAAATATATTTTAATCACCTTAAACCCCAACAGCTACTATTAGTGTTTTGATATGCTTCCTTCGAGTCTTTCTTACTCTCAGTATGCCAATTCCCCAAATGTTTCCTTCTCTTTAACTCATATGAGCTAAATTAAACTACCCGTGGTATAAACATTGACTCTTAGCCCTAGAATTAGATATTAAAATTTTTAATCAATTTTTAATTTTTTTGAAAAAGAAATACAAGCTCATTGAGGACATTTGGAAATTGCAAAAAGTTATAAAGAACAAAATAAAAGTCATTTCTAATTCTGGTTTTCTTTTTCTTTTTCTTTTTTTTTTTTTTTGAGATGGAATCTTACTCTGTCACCCAGGCTGGAGTGCAGTGGTGCATTTCAGCTCACTGCAACCTTGGCCTCCCGGGTTCAAGGTATTCTTCCATAGCTGGGACGACAGGCACATGCCACCACGCCCAGTGAATTTTTGTATTTTTAGCGGAGACGGGGCTTCTCTATGTTGACCAGGCTGGTTTCCAACTCCCGACCTCAAATGAGCCACCCACCGTGGTCTCTCAAAGTACTGGGATTATAGGTATGAGCCACCGTGCCCAGCCAAGTCGTTTCTAATTCTACTATCAAGTGATAAACACAGGCTCCCATAATTTAAATAAATTCTTAGTTACAACAAGAAAACCTATGTCTAGTCTTCAGGCTGCTATCTAAAACGACGCAGGTTACTAAAGCTAGCATTACTGTCTGGGCCCATGGTGGCCTTTCCCAGAGTTATGGGGAACGAGGGCTGCTTCACACACCCCAAGGCATTGGTAAGCTCCTGCCATTTCAGTTTTCTCTTAACAGAATTTGGATTGAAACAAAAGAGCACAGGAATGAAATGAAGGCATACGTACATACGACACGCTTTTCTAACCACCAAAGGCCATAGATTGATTAGGATTTGCTTTGTTAATTCACCTTGAAAACTGCAAATTGACATCCTTTCATTAATTATTTAAACTCACAACTCTCATATCCATTAGAATATACGAAAATGGCACTGTGAGAACCAATGATCCAGAGACAACAGTTACCTCCTGTTAACAGTTTTTTCTTGAAATTGATAGAAACGAAGAATTTCATAAAAATGAGAGAAAAGGTTGAAATATTTGAGAATGATTTTTCTTACAAATAGTTAACAAAAAGTATGTCCCAAATCCAGAAGGCCCAGCCAATCTTGTTGGCACACCTCACTTTTCACCTTCTTTTCCCCTAAGTAATCATGCATTCTCTTGGTTGTGCTCTGCTCTGAACGAGGAACAACTTCCAAGTACCCTTTTTGTCACTATTGCCAAGTTAGCAAGCATTCTTTAAGCCTGTCACTATCCAAGGCCTCTCTGGAAATGCTGAGTAGCAGGGAGCTGAGGAGAGCAGTAGCTTCACTAAGAAAATATCCAGCAACGCAGAACCAGTTCTCACGTGCAGAGAGCTCATGGAGTTCAGTAAGGTCCTGTAATTTTTGTCTCATGTGACCTGAAATGTTAATTTCTATAATGTTTCTTTCTCTTTTAAACTACATCTTGTGAAAATAAATTGATGACATTTTCACCACATTTTGAGAGTGTATTTGGAATGATCTGATTTAAAGTGTAGACTATATACTGTGCACAATCACACAAATTACATGGGGGAGGTTGAGGGAGCATAATTTCAAAGATTTCAATTAGTCATATTGCATTAAAAATTGCTTTATGTTTGTAGGAGGAGCATTCCAAATGTTCCTGAGTTTTCTAAAATGTTCAATTTCAAAACTTTTTCAGCCACAATCACAAGAAATTAAGTCAGACAAAAGGCAAGCTCAAAAACTTGCAGATCTTAGCACCACATCATCAAAAGCCTAAAAACAAAAGTGAGGATACTGAGAGAGCCAAAGTTCATATGAAAAGGATAACCTCTTGAGGACAATCACAAGAGGCATGTTAGTCAGGGACAACTGAGACCCATGCGCAGTGTGATGAGTGGCTGGCCCCAGGGGACAGGCAGGCAGCTTCTAGAGCAGTTGAAACTGAGGCCCAAGCAGATGCCCCTGGGACTGCAAGGCAGGACAGGTTTGCCATCGGCAGTTAGAACTGGAGCCTGAGGGAAATTTGGCCGCCAGTCAGGAGAGACACACCACGCATATTAAGATGCCATGGACAGAGAAAACAATGGCTTAAATATGAGCCTCAAATCGAGGAATTCAATATCAGTTTAATGTCTGAAATTTAGAGTACTGAAGTGGTTATTAACACTGGGGAAAGAAAATCACCCAAAAACAAACAAAAACCCCCACAAAACCCCAAATATTTAAAAATTGACATCAAGATAAAAATCACTGCATGTCCTTAGGGTGCTGTAAAAGGAAAGTGGATTCCTGTAATATGTTGGGTCACACTGAGTCTCTGGCACCATCCTTCGTCTTCTAAACATCCCCAGTTACCACAGGACATTTCCTTCGCCTTAAACATTAAGAGGCCACCAGAGTGGAGGCTTGAAATTGCTGGTGCTGACTAGTGATTGAGCTGCTTCTTTACACAATGTGCCGCACAATGAGAATAGCATTCTTATGTATACCACATGTAGCAAATGTAGGTATATACGTATATCTGAAAAATATTTTTTGCAAATCTGAAAACTATTATAGCTCTATTTTAATATTATAATTATAGAAAAACATTACAGCGCTGACTTTTTAAATAAATTCTATATTACAATGATTATGGGTATGAGCTCTCTTAAGGAAAGCTGAACAATATGGCTAGCAGTAAAAGAGAGAGAAAGAAAAAAGAAGAGAAAGGAGGGAAGGGGAAAAGTGAAGTAGCACTGTTAGGGATTGACCCAGCACTTAAAATTTTAAACTAAGAGAAACTAAGCTGATTTTTTTAATAAGAAGGTGAACCAGAGAGAGATTTTGGTTTATGATTGAAAGCTAGCTAGAACAGACATTCCTACTCCTGATACACTTCCCCTTTTCCTGCCAGTAGAAGAACCGGTTTCCGCACCCCCAGCCTCCCACTCTCCCATCCTTAAAAAAAATCTTCTTTCCTTTTGTTTATTGTGAAACTACCAATTGCAGTCACAAACCCATTCCGAGAGATGGAAACAGCACCAAAGAGCCATGTTGATTAAATTTACCTTTTGAAAAATTCAAATTAGGGAAAAAGTACTCAGGTGTGGAAGGTGTTTGTAGCTGGATGAACCAGTGGAATCACCTCAAAAACAGGGCCCTCAAATTTCTGCAGCCAAGAGTCACATTTTGGCAAGCTAATCTGTATTTTGCATTTTCTTGTTTAAGTTATGTGGTTTTTTGTTTTTTGTATTTATTTTTATTTTTTTTCTTTCAATCAAAGAATTTTTAACTGTATCTCTGTGGATGCAGGGACCATATGTAAATTCTCTATTTCACTCTCTGCGCTGGCTCTGTACTTAATTCTTGGTAGGCATTCAACTATTTGCAGAATGATGAAACAGAATGGGTGAATAAGTGGATCCCCACTCCCAAAAAGGACTTCTTGCCCTTAAGATTTGAACAGTAATTTTAATAATAATTTATATCTTAAATCTAAATAGTTGAGACTATGACAGAAATAAGTATATTAATATGAAAAGTTGGATTTACAATGGCAAAAAATTAAAATAAATTTAAAAAATTACTTCTGGGTTTTCTATTACTTGCTGTTCCATCTTATAGAAGTGAAGTGTAATTTATACCCACTTCTTATTTTCATTGGCGAATTGATATTTTAATCAATAACAAGTGATTGTTCATTGATATTTTAACATATTTCGTCTCATTCTAACTTTTGGGCATTATTGGATTATCTGTATGAAATATTTTATTTTTTCAGAGCCATCAATTTACTCAAATGTATTGCTACTTATAATGTTTTTTGAGCATCTACACCAACAATGGCTCAACTGGGTACACGTGCCTAATAAAAATTCATGGTAGTTTTCCAAAAACTTGTAGACAGTAAAAAAATAAGAAAATCCATTTTCATTTTCTCGACTCTATTTTTTTGCTAAAATTGATCTGCCTAGAATAAGTCTGTGGTCAAGGCTTTAGTTTGGTTTTCCTTTCCCATCTCCCCATCTCACAACCAAACTTATCTCATATTACAAAAGAAAGGGTTACGTTTCACCCATCCAAACTCTTATCACAGTGCCTGACACCTTCTTTAACCAAGTCACCATAAACATTTAATAGGGCTTTGGTCTTTCCCTTTCTTATACATTTTTCCATCCTAGAAAAAGTGGGAGATTTAAAAATTGTGTATTCTGCCTGTGCTGGAATACTCTGAAGTCAGGTATATTTGTATAGTTGGATTAGAGAAGTAGTGACAATCTCCTTTTAAAGATGTATATCTTCGTCTTTCTCCCCAATTCTCTCCAAAGAAATTACTGATGCTGAGGAAGATCCTGAGAAGAAAGCAGTAAACGTGTATCCGTAGCAAGTGTTGAAGGACATCCTGGATTATGTGATCTAGGTGAGAAACATTTGGAAAAGCTTTGTGTGCGCTCTTTCTCTCTCTCTGGCCCTGCCTATCTCAGAAAAAGAAGAATAAAGATTTCTAGAAAATTCATTCTCTTTTCCCTCTCTCACTCTCTCCTTCCCTTTCTGAATAATTTAGTCCAAAAGCCAGTAGGTAGGGTAGAATGTAATAACACAAAGAGAGAAAGTAGAATGCAAGTCCAGCGCCAAGTGTGGGAGCCTAAGCAGGGTGAAGAAAGCCTCTACATAGTGGCCCTGTGCACACGCCACAGCCTAAAAGGGGTGAGGCAGTTGTAGACATGGGGTGACGGAAGGGGTGGTGATGAGCAGTTGGTATCTTCTGTGTGGGATTGATCAAGTAAGTAAACATATTGAGGGTGATGGAATTTCTCACTGTTAGAGAAAGGAGTTCTATACATGCATAGGCATCTATATATATATATATATATATATATGTGAATGTGCATTTCTAATTAAACTTTACTTTTTAGGTTTGCTTATCAATTTCTACAATATATTTAAGTTTATTTGATAAATACTATGCCAATAATGATTGTATTATAATTCAGACAAAAGATATTAGGTCTTATGATCACAAAGAATATTTTAAAAATTCAATTTATATACATATTTTATTGCAATTTTACTATCAATAAAAGACCTTCAAGAATTAAAATATGTTAAGATAAAATTACATGGGAAAAATGGAATGGAAATATGAGGTAAAAGAGAAAATGGAACAATATAAAATTTCTGATTATTGAAGAAGAGCTTATTCATATATTTTTTAAATTGACGATCCTGCATATTATACACATGAACCCCAGAACCTAAAGTGCAATAAAATATATTTTAAAAAAGAAAAAAGAAAAAAAATTGATGGTGGTGGGCATAAAGCTGCTATAGTGTTTAGATTATATTGGATACCTAAATTATAAATAATATTACCATTTTGTTGTCATATGTCAATAATTAAAACAGCCCAGAAGACGCATCTTTTGAAACTAGTTTTACTTTATGCTGAAACCATTTTATATCAGCTTAAAAATGGACAGAAGGATAAATGAATTTCCAAAAAATGTTAAAAGGCAAGCAAGCAGCCCCTAAAGGTAAATATTTTATTCACATTTATTATACAACTAGGAAAATGGAAATTCACAAAAATTAATGTTTTGCAGATCACAGTCGTTAAGTGATGAATCTGGGAGAGTCTGTTTGACTATGAACGTGCAAATTTCTTTCTGGGCTTTCACTTCCCCTGCTTTTCCTTGCTCCATTCCACTTCCTGTTCAGCTTATCTTTCCAACTGTTGACCCAGCTGACCCACAGTGGCTCTAAGACCACCACTGGCTACTTGGCTGTAGACTCACAGAAACGGTAGCTGCACAGAAGCCACAGCTTCTCAGATACCTCTCTATGGGCTCCCCCTTCACAGTCTAGTTTGGCCACTGGGTATGCTGTGCTTCACAAGTTCTCTGCAAGCTTCAGCATGTCCACCTGCCATCGTGCTTCAGGTAGCCTGGTTAAAGCTTTATCTCAGATCCTCCAAATTTCCCTTCTGCACTTTCACTTCCCCAGCTTCTCCCTCAATTGGTAAAGCCTAGTTCCTATAATAAATCTTTTATTCCCATAATATGTATGATGCCTCTGCTTCCTGACTAACACAATTATCGTTACCTAAAGTAATTCTAGAGTAACAAAAGCTTATTATTAATGATTTAAAACTTTTTTCTTGCTCTGGCTAGATTGGAAGACATTTATGTTCCCATTCTAAGTAACAAATTGGGCAATGGTAGTCTATGACATTCAGTAGAAAAACACTACTTAAAGTATCACCTAGAGCCACTTGGAAAGACTTTCCATGTCCAAGTGGTTGCTACCACAGAACAATTTAGTGGTAGTAAGTAAAATTATCATGGATTGCCTGATTGTTTCTAAATGTGAGGGAGAACTTGGAAGGAAAAACATGAGATTAGGGACTTACATTCCCAGCTCAATCTCTTGGTAAGGAACCAAAAGGCGTTTAAAATGGTCCTAAAGGTGACTTTTATCTTCTGTAACTACAGGATTGAGATTTCTAAAAACAAAATGCAAAACCTAATATTGTGGGTGGCTAACATGCAATACAAATCAAATTCATAACTTCTCAAGGGTCTAAGGCATTGACTTGAAAAAGAGTAAGACCCTGAATTTTGAAAGGGGAACATTTAAGGAAATTCTGATAAAGCTGAGAAATTTAAAACCTAAATTCTACAGAAATTGCCTTGACAATTAAAGCAACATTTCTACCCCTCTCTGAGATTAGTCTCCTATTGTCTGAAGTAAAATGTCTCTTCAGAATACCACCAACCTTCCTCAAGATCTACTCCCATCACCTCTCATTGCTTCTAGGTCTATGAACAGATGCAAATACCAGATGACTCTTCAGCTATGAAGTATGACCTCATGATGACGTACATACACACCAAAATAATTGCAATGTGGTGCTAAATTCTAATTGACAGAAACCTGGTGAATATGGGTGGCATTGTATTCTACAAGCATTGGATCAGGTTAAAGAAATTTAAAGTTGGAAGGGCATAATTTACTAACATGGATGCACTAAGCAGAGGTTGTTCACTCAGTGTACTGATTTGAGGTGATGGGAATCACTCTAACTAGTTGCTTAGTTGGTTAACTAAATCTTCGACCTGAAAGTGGCTTACACTGAAAATGAATTTAAGGAACCAGAACTTCTTTTGTATATTTGCAAAATTGTAATAGCATATTTTTAAAAAAGGGACTGATATTATGTTAGGCTTCTGAGCTGTGCAGTATTTGTTACAATTATTTAATTCTTCTGTTTTAGCCTAAACTCAATCCTACACAATAAGCAAATAAATTGGCATGGAATTATGTTCCCATAAAAATTTATTTGCAAAACCAAGCAGGTCAACCTGTGGGCTATAGTTTACTGACCCCTGCTAGAGGAAAACATCCAGAGATTTAGGGAGCTCAGATTACTGGAATGAATTTATCAGGTAAGACCTGTTCACTCACATTCCAAGTCTCCTGGGAAGTTCCATTGGACTTTCTCTTCTCTGAGGGTTTGAGAAATGCACTGATGAGGGCAGCACCAGTATCCCTGAAGAGCTCTCCAGCAGCTATTTTCTGCAGATCATGACTAGCAATAAAAAAAAAATGCTCTCATCAAAATTTTTTCCCCAAAAACAGATAGCACCTTGGATTCAGTAGAAATGATGGGATCTCTGACTAGCAGGGAACAAGTTGCAACAACCTTCGTATCTGGCTATGTTTCTTCCCCTTGATTCTCAGTGGGCTTTCTGAGGCTAAACGCTAAAAGATGACAGGGTATCTGTGCTGTTTTATTGGGACATCCTTCTTTGAAGCCCTACACCACCAGATGAGTATGCTAATTTCCCTGACAACACCGTGCTGTGAGTAAACTCAGGTCACATGGAGAGGCCTAGTGAGGTAAGGTCTCAGCCAACAGCCAGCGCCTACCATCAGACATGTGAGTAACAAAACCTTCAGGTGATTCTTGCTCCCAGCTCTTAAGTAACTGAGAGCTTCTGAGTTATCCTGAGTGAGGCCTCAGGCATCATGGAGAAGGCATACGAGCAATCCCTGATGTGTACTTTCTCTATCTCTGACCCACAGAATCTGAAACTATAACAAAATTGTTATGATTTTATATCGCTGAGTTTAGGGTTTTTGTTACTGGAACAGAAGAAATGCCACAGACAAGTGGTAATCTGAATGTTTTAATGCACAGAGATCTTTGGTTTGGGGTAAGTGATCATGGTGTTCCTAGAATGAAAATAAATAGGCAAACTACTAAAGTCTTATTTCATTTGTGTAAGCAGAAAAACTCTAAGTTTGGGCAATAGAAGTTTGACTTGACTCACCATAAATTATGGTTCCTCAACAAATTCTTTTATTTGAATCAGTTCACATATCAAATAAAAAGAATAAGACCTCCACTGAATGATGGAGAGACCAGGCCCTCTGAAGGAAAGATATTGCCACACTGCTAAAAAGGTATACCTCGTCTTCTCCAAAGCAATGTACAGTCACTGTCCTTTGGTGAAAAAGAAATACCAGAAAGTTATAGAAATTAGGCAGTTAATATAGCTTTGGCTTAGATCCATCTCATGGTGGGATCAGTGGTCCCTGAATACACCCAACAATTTTTACTCAGTTCCAGAATACATATGAGTAAATGATGATTTACTTAGTTGCAGAATGTAGTTAGAATGAACATATTCAGCAATTGGAATAATTCTCACATTGGTTCCTTCACCTGGAGAATGAGGGCTATTGTAGGAAGAAAGATTAAATGAAAATCTCCAGAACTGCCTCTACTTAAAAAAATAAAGTAAACCAAAAGCAATGCAAAATTTATAGAGGAAATGCAGATATTAGTGCCTCATCAAGGACATAAAGAATACACATAATTCCTATCATATCCCCATTTAATTTGCCTAAATGGTTTACTCAGAAGACAGATCTTAAAGAATGACAGTAGAATATTATAAGATTAATAAGATGATGATTCGAATTGCGGCTGCTGTTCCAGATGCAGGTTATTTGCTGCAGCACATCAACACATTATCTGGCATACTATAGCTATTAATCTGGTAAGTAAAGTTTGTTTTCACCTAACAGGGCCAGTAATACACATTCACTGCCCTACACATATAAAATCTTCGGCTGTCATAATAATAATCCAGTCAAGAGACCTTTATCACTTCTTCATTCCACAAGAGAACACCTTGGTCCACTAAATTAATGTTATCATGCTGATTGGACTTTGTGAAGAGACAATTATACTTTCTTAGACATCTTGCTAGACACACATATGCCATCTTGATGAAATTTTTAGGGGTCCAGCGGGCATAGTTCAAGCAAAACAAGTTGCTGCACCCAATTTCTCCTACGTCAAGAAAGAGGCACCACGCCTGGTGGTTCTCTTTAGATTTGGGAGGCAACATGTGCCTCATTTGGGCCTGATATTCCATTTAGGCCGGATACTGATACTCATTTAGGCCTAAAACTATTTACTGAGTAAATCAGAAGGCTTACAGTTTTGGGAAGGGTCCAGAGCAAGTCCAGGCTCTGAACAAGTTTAGGCTGTTATGAAAGTCGTTCTGCTACTTTATTTATTTGACCAATCAGATGTATAGTGACTAAAGTATCTATGGAAGATAGAGATGCCGTATGGAGTCATTAAAAGGTCCCTCAATATATATCATAGAACAAAGGTTTAAGAACCACTATTTCTGTATGTAACTATTCTCCTCTTGAGAAACAACTTTTGGCTTATTTCAGGGCCCTCATGGAAACAAAACACTTGACCACAGCCACCAAATTACCTTGCAATATGAACTACCCACCATTAACTCGGTCTGATGCACCAAGCCATAAAATTGAATGTACACTGAAGCACTCTATAATTAAGTAGAACTATCACAGATCAGCCTCAAGAAAGTCCTCAAGGCATAAGTAATTTCCATGAACAAGTGTATCAGACTCTCAGGGTTTATATTCCTGCTATATTACCTCCTCCTTCTCAACCCACAACCGTTTTCTACGATCTACTGACTTAAAAAGAAAAAAAAAAGAAAATCTCAGCTTGATTTACAGAGAGTGCTGCATAAAATACTGGCACCATCCAAAAGTATTTGCAATACTACAGCCCTATGCAGAAGGGTCCCTGAAAAAGGGTTGTTAAAGGAAATCCTCTGAGTAGACATAACTTCAGGCAATGTACCTGGTGGTTTGTTCCTCCTGGAAGGAGAGATGGCCGGAAGTATGGATCTACACGGATTTATGAGTAGTGGCTAACAGTTTGATTGTATGCTGAGGCTGTGTAGAAGAAAAACAATTGGCTGAGTGTTGATAAGGAGATCTAGGGAGGAGGTATATAGATAGACCTTTCCAACTGGGCATAAGATGTAAACATATTTTTGTTCCATGTGAATTGCTGCCCAAAGAACAGCCTCAGCAGAGGAAGATCATGTTAAGTAGACTTCTTCCTTGGCTATTCCTGTTTTTGACCAATGGGCTCATGAGAAAAAAATGGACATGGTAGTAGGGATGGGTATTCCACATCTGCATGTTATTAATCTTCCCAAACCTGTTTTTTTGTATGTAAAATAGAGATTACAAAAGTATCTACTCCACAGGGCTGTTGTGATGTTTAAATGAAAAAAAAAATGCATGAAAGACCTTAGAACAGTAAATGGCATACATGAAATGATTAATACATATTGAATGGTTTTACTTATTTATCTACCTTATTTATTATTGATTAATTGATCAGTTGATTGATCTACCCAAAAAATATGTGTTAAGCATATTTGTGAGGTTACAGCAGTGAAGTAGACAGGCAACATCTCTACCTTTACATGTTGGCATTCTGGTGAAGAGCAACTCATTACAATGAATTATTATTTAATGATAATGTCATAAGTACCATCAAAATGAAGTTAGTATACTGAGTAGGCAAAGAATAGGTTGTACTGACCTAGACTGGGGAATGAGAAACTACTTTCCTAAGTAAATGATGCTTAATTTTAGTTCAGAAGGAGATTTAGAATTTAGCTAGTCCAAGGAGGTGTTGATGTCAGAAAGCAGGTGGAAGAAGGATTATCTGTAAAGATTGAAAAAGAACCAGGCTCATTCACTGAACCAAATTGCAGACTATATTGGAATGAGATCAGGGTTGACAAGGAGAGATGAGGCTAGGGTCTAGTCGCTGAGGACCATGTAAACTTGAAGGTTAAGGAGCTGGCATTTAATTCAAAAAACAATGTGATAGCATTGTAGGGGTTCAAAGCATTGTAGTAACTTGATTCAATTTGTATTTCTAAAAAATCATCACTATGGTTGCAGTGTGGACAGTGAATGGATGAATGAGGCAAGAGGAAATCTGAGGACATGCAGATGGCTGGTGGATGATGCTGTCTTGGACTAACTGATGGCTGTAGAGAATAGAAGGAGACACATTTAAGATGGGTTTTAACAGAGTATTTACATGACTTAGAAGCAAAGGTAGCTCCTCAGTTTTGAACATGGGCCACTGGATGGATGATGATGCTTTACGAAAAGGAGCAGATGTGGTAACTATGGTAACTATGGTCAAAAGTTGTTTGGATATGGTAAGATCCAGGTGCTTGTGAAACAATGATGTAGGCTGTTTAAAAGACATGTGATAGGGGGCTACATCTTAAAGAAATCTGGAACCAACACATTTAGGAGCTATTCCATGGACATAAGGTATAAAGCACAAAGTTTACCTGTTTAGAATTTGTGGTGAAAAGAGAGGAGCCTCTGGGATTGAGCCCTTTGACATTTAGTGGCCAAGTAGAGGAAGCAACCAGAGAAGCAATAGGACATTCATAGGAGCCCAGAGAAGGAAGTATCCAAGAAAGTGAGTGTGCAGCTGAAAGGGCAAGTAGGACATGGACCGGAAAACAACAGTGAGTCCAGCACCATGGAATTGTGTTATTGCTCCTGGTGACATTGCAGAAGTCTAGTTCCTTCTCCAGGCTTTGATCCTCTGGAGTCCTTTAAGGCTCCTAGGATGCTGCTTCATATAATAAGAAACATGCTCCTATCCTGCTTCTAATTACATGTGAATACACGGACCACAAAATGATGCTACCTTGTGCTTCCATTATCTTAGAGAAATTTTAGCAAAATCATTTTTTTCTTTCTTTAATAGCCATTATTTTCCAAGGTGTCAAGTTTTAAAGGAAGTAAAAGAGAGAAATGAGAGGTAGAATCATAGGAAAAATGAATGGCTACTCATCTAAAAATTATTGTTTCTTTCTCACACTAACTCTTTATCCTCTGAACAAGCTTATATATTTCATATGGCCCCTAATCTCTTTTCTGAGTGGACTCATGGAAGTCCCATCCTTCTTTCCCCTCAATAAACTGATAAATCCTTGCAGCAAACACAATTGAAGCTGTCAAAATGAGGTCCCTGCTAGACACAATTGAGATGATTTCTTTCGAAAATAAATACCTTTCTGATGTTTTGCATTCAGGATGTTTTCTTCAAATTAAAGCTTATACACACACACACACACACACACACAGACAGACAGACAGACAGACAGATAGATAGATAGATAGATACTGACCCAACATCTA